TTTGTTTTTGGACAGGCAGATTTAGACAGAAAGGTCTTCCTTCTGTTGGTTCACCCCTCAAATGGCTGCTAGGGCCAGCGTGCTGCACCGATCCAAAGCCAGGAGCCAGGTGCTTCCTCCTGGTCTCCCATGCCAGTGCAGGGCCCAAGAACTTGGGCCATCCTCCACTGCCTTCCTGGGCCACAGCAGAGAGCTGGACTGGAAGAGGAACAACCAGGACTAGAACTCGGAGTGCCAGCGCCAAAGGTGGAGAATTATCCTAGTGAGCCACGGTGCCAGCCACCTGGGTCATTTTGAAGTCCATTTACATTATTCGCCTTTCTTTTCATTGTGGACCACTTTCTAGTTTCTTCAAACTAGCAATTTCTGGTTCCTGGACATTGTGAGTGATATGGCATAGAGACTAAAGATTCTATTATATTTCTCTATAGTGTGTTCTGTTCTAGAATTAATTATATGTGTTGAACTCAAACTCCAAACATTATATATCCTCTGTGCAGGGGAGGAGTTGAATCTTTTCTCAGTTCTTTCAGCCTTCCAGCTATTGTTTTCTACTAGGTCTCCTGGAGTCTCCCTCACACAAAGTTTAGGGATCAGCCAAGTATATTTGGGCTGAGTTTTCAATAGAATTTGATGTTCCTTTGTATGCAATGTCTTCTTTTTCCAGGATTTCTCTTAGTTTACAGTCTTGCTAATAGTCCTAAATTCTGTTCACTGACTCCTCAAGCCAGGAAGACTGCATCTTTCTACACAGTGTTAGGCAAAAAGCCAGATAAACAATACTTACCCTCTCTCTTTTTTCCTCGTGAGATTTATATATTTATTTGACAGGCAGAGTGAAAGAAAACACAAAGAGAGATCTTCAACTCCTGGCTCACTCCCCAGATGCCTGCAACAGCCATGGCTAGGTCAACTGGAAGCCAGGAACCAAGAACTCCATCCAGATCTCCCACATGGATGACAGGAACCCATGCACTTAGGCCAACATCCTCTGTGCCTCGCAGGCACAGCTGCAGGAAAATGAATGTAATGCAGAGAGCAGCCAGGAATCAAACCAGGTAATCTAACATGGGATGTAGACATCCCAAGAATAACTAAACCTGTCATGCCACAAAGGGCTGCCCCAGTTTCCTTCTTTCAAGGGCTGATTCTCCTTCAGCTTCTGCCTGCTTTTAGTCATTTTCCAATGCCTTCAAATAATTGTTTTTCTTTCTTAGTCTAGTTTTAGTAATACCCTACCTGCAGGAAGGGTATTATGATAACAAGCAATTTCACCAAAACTGGAAATGTCAAGTATTTGAGTTTTAAAAAATAATAGTTTTAATGGATATAGGGATTATTATATCCATCTATCCCTAGATATATCCATATGTTAAATCTTTACACATAAAGGTTTATACAGTTTCTATGAGATGCTACTTCCATGCTTGAAGAAAGTTCTCTATGGTATACTGAAAATAATGTTGACTTTGGAATCAGAGAAATCACGTACTAATTGTATGAATTTTGAAAGATTATTGCGGCCGGCGCCGCGGCTCAATAGGCTGATCCTCCACCTAGCGGCGCTGGCACACCGGGTTCTAGTCCCGGTCGGGGCGCCGGATTCTGTCCCGGTTGCCTCTCTTCCAGGCCAGCTCTCTGCTGTGGCCCGGGAGTGCAGTGAGGATGGCCCAAGTGCTTGGGCCCTGCACCCCATGGGAGACCAGAAGTACCTGGCTCCTGCCATCGGATCAGCGCGGTGTGCCGGCCGCAGCACGCCAGCCGTGGCGGCCATTGGAGGGTGAACCAACGGCAAAAGGAAGACCTTTCTCTCTGTCTCTCACTATCCACTCTGCCTGTCAAAAAAAAAAAAAGATTATTGCTTTATGTTTTTCCACTTTTATTATACAGTTGATAACCTCAGAATTGTCAGAAAGCTTAAATGCTCTCATTGGAAAGCAAAACAAAAACTGTTATTTCCTTTCCTTTAAACCTCTTCCTCCATTCAAGCAATGGAAATGGAAGGAATTCCTATCACATGACCATCTTTTTCTACTATTTTTATTCCATTAGGAATAAAAGCTGTTTTTAATAAGGAAGAAATAACACGAGACAGAAAGAGCAAATGTCATTTTATGAACAAACATGAGGTTGTAGAAGCAGGAACTACCCAAGGGAACACAGAACTCAGGTTGGATTCACTCCACATTATCTATTCATAAGCAAATAAGCAGGAAGTATGGCAATCCAGAAGTTGCCATTATCACAAAATTTCTCCTAATATCAATGAGTCTGTCTATGGAATTAACCACAGCAATCTAATAAGCAAAACTTCTTGTGGGGAGGGCGGTGGTTGGTGTCAGGCATAGCAGTGAAGTTGCCACACCCCACATTAGAGCATCCATCAGGGTTCAAGTCCTGTCTCCTTTCCTAATTCCAGCTTCCTCCTGGGGCTCATCCCAGGAGGCAGCAGGTGATGACTGAGTGCTTAAGTTCCTTCCATTTACAAGGGAGACCTGAATTAAGTTCCTGGCTCCTGGCTTGGGCCTGGCCAAGCCTCAGATGTTGCAGGCATTTGGAGAGGGAACCAGCAGATTTCTCTTTCTTTCTCTCTCTATCTCAACCTTTCAAATAAAACTGAAAACCACAACTACCAAGAAAAGTGTGAAAAGTATATAAAAAAAAAAAAGGCTTTTGATGCTTGGATCACACATTTAACAAATTTTTTTCTTTTGCTTCTGTTTATAAAAGTAAATTTTGTTCCTTGTAAATAAAACTGGAATTGTACAGCACTATGTTTCATAAATGTTATATATTAATAGAATGTTAAAATTTTGCCACGTATTTATATATTATTTTACATGACTTTTTAGAAAAGGTTTAGTTTTATTTATTTACTAGAAAGGCCACTGGATCACTCCCAAAATGGCCACCTCAGCTGGGTCTGGGCCAGGCTGAAGCCAGGAGCCAGAAACACCACCCAGATATCCCACGTGAGTGCCAGGGATCCAAGCACTTAAAACATCTTCTGCTCCCCTCTCAGGAGAGCATTAGTAAAAAGCTGGACTAGAAGCAGAGCAGCTAGAACTCGAACTGGCACTCCAGTATGGGAAGTTGTCATCACAAAAGCAGCAGCTTAACCTGCTGCACCACAATGCTGGCCCTTTACATGACTTAATATCTGCTCTGTACTTACTGGTATAAATATGATATAATTTGCCTATCATTCCTATGAACTATTAGAAATTTTAGCTGCTTTCAGTATTCACAACTGTAAATTTTCATTCACAAATGATTTTACACATTACCAACAAATTAGCATGTAGTCATTGTAATTATCTAAGTAATTACATAAAATAGAAGAAGATGGAGTTTTATGAAACAACATTGAGAATGCTTTCCAGGTTGCATCAATTCATGATCACATTACTTTAAATATAGCTTGTTACCATCTAACTAAATAATCTTCCAACTCCTATGACTCCATCTTACTCCAAATATGTCAGAATTCCATATACATTATCATGCATTTCACAAATACCAAGTTCCAACATTTTTAGAGAATTTGAGTTATTTTTCTAATACCTATCATAAAAGCATAATCAGGCCTCAGTAGTTCTAAGCAAATTCGCACTGGGTTTTCTAAGTGTATTAGACACAGATGAGGCAAATGCAGTATTGACCCAAGTAAGTCAGTCAAAGTGAGACTCTCAAGATTACATAATCAGATAGTACATACATGATACAGGCTGAGTACCCACCATCCAAAAATCTTAAATCCAAAACCAGAAACTTTTTGAGCACCCAAATGACACTATGGTGGAAAATACCACATCCTCAAACTCTGCTTCATGAACAAAATTACTAAAAATATTGCATAGGCTGGCACCGTGGCTCAATTGGCTAATCCTCCACCTGCGGTGCCAGCACCCCGGGGTTCTAGTCCTGGTTGGGGCGCCAGGTACTAGACCCAGTTGCTCCTCTTCCAGTCCAGCTCTCTGCTGTGGCCCGGGAGGGCAGTGGAGGATGGCCCAAGTGCTTGGATCCCTGCACCCGCATGGGAGACCAGGAGGAAGTACCCAGCTCCTGGCTTCGGATCAGCGCAGTGCCAGCCATGGCAGCCATTAGCGGAGTGAACCAATGGAAGGAAGACTTTTCTCTGTCTCTCTCTGTCTATAACTCTCTCTCTCTCTTTCACTGTCTAACTCTGCCTATCAAAAAAATATATATATTGTATAAAGTTACCTTAAGGCTATGTGTACAAGAAATATAGATTTGATGTTTCATTTTATTTATTTTGTAACTATTCCAAAATGTGTAAGAAATTCTGATATCCAAACACTTTCTGGTCCCAAGCATTTGGATAAAGGATACTTAATCTGTATATATAAGTTTAAGTCAACAAGAATAAGCTGAAGGAGAAAAAAACTAAAGCAAAATTGATGTATCTAAGTAATGACATAGTATATCTTTCAAATGTAATAGTTTTATGTTAGAATAGTAGTGCCTAGAAATGTGATCATTCTACATCAATAAACATAGTAAAGAACACACAGAGTTCTTGGGTTTCCTGGGCCTACAAGGTGTAAACCAGAGGACAGCATACTCTTTTTGTAAGAGCCAGAGATTAAATAATGAATCTTACAGGTCACATAGTCTGTTTTAACCACTCAACTCTGTTTCATAGTAGCATGAGTACCATAGAAAACACATAAATGAATGGTCATGGCTATGTTTCAATTTAATTTTATTTACAAATACAGGTAGTAGGCTGGATTTGATCTGTGGGCTGCAGTCTGCCAACCACTACTGTAAAAGCTGAGAGGTAGTTATGAAATGCAAAATGATAATAAAAGTCTTTTGAATACATGCTGAAAATTCAAATGGTTAGCAAGAAACACCATAAGGATCACGGCCACTTTACATTCCTATGCTTACAAGAAACACAATTTCAAATTAAGTGAACTTCATAATAGTTGAACCAATGTTTTATGTATCATAAGAACCAGAGAATCACTTACCTGTGCATAATCACCATAAGGTGGAGAGTAAGAAACACACTTTTCCAAGCCATGTTGTGATTCACTTCCCTGAGAGATTGCATCCAGAATGTTGCTTGCAATTCCAGTCTTATGCAGAGTGGTTTTATTTGCAAGGGCTACAGAAAAAAGTCGACATTTAGTTTACTCTGATTGTATTTTATAAATTATAAACAGAGTACAAAACTCAATAGCAGAACATGGTCCCCAAACACAACACAAATCTTAGTTTGCTAATATATGTATATATTTATTTTCCCCAAGGGAAATTATACATAAGCATATATGTAATCTTTGAAACAAGGGGTATAAAATATGAAATCTGTACTTTGTTGATGCAAGTTATTACTATTAATTTTTAGACCAGATCAATATATAATAGTTCATTACCATTATATATATTTTTTACTAAAAAATGAAACACATTTCAATTTTATTTCTCACTTTAAAAAAAAACTACAAATTAATGTCTGAGTTCAAGATGGTATTTCATAAGGAGGAAGTAACTTAAAAGGAAGCTCATCTTTTTGATTAAATCTTCTTCTAAGAGGTAACAGTTTAGAATTACTTTCCCAGGTTTGCTTTTTATGCATTTAGTCAAACATGTGCATAAAAACATGTAGGTATAACTGTAAATAAACACAAACTGAATCACTTAATGCATATTTACTTTTTCTACTTAAAATTATGCCTTGTTGATAATTTCATATAATCTATTTATATGTAGATAGAAACTCATTATAGCAAATACACATAAAACTCCAAAATATTAATACTGAACCCTCACTTACATGATAAGCATACACTGGGCAACACACTTGCCAAATTCAAATATGGATTTTTACTGAGCCGGATTTCTTTTGGTGGTTCTCCCAGGAGGGAAGTCTGATTCTTTGAGGCAGCCTATTTATCAAAACAAAAGAAGTGCTTACTAAGAGGTAAAAGAAAATAAAAATGCACAGAGACACATTTCATTTCCAACAAGTCTAGTGTGATAACAATTTATGGAACTTAATTTCTTGCTATTATTTTTTCAGTTAGTTTTTTTTTTTTTAAAGACTATTTATGTGAAAGGCAGAGACACACAGAGAAAGAGTGATGTCCCATCCTCCAGTTCACTCCCAAAAATGCCTGTAACAGCAGAGGCCGGACCCAGCAAAAGTCACAAGCCAGGAACTTCATCCAAGTCTCCTATATGGGTTGCAAGGACTCAAGTACTTGAACCCATCACCTGCTGCCCTTCAGGCACATGAGCAGGGAGCAGGAAAGGAAGCAAAGTAGCTAGGATGTGAATCAGTCACTCTGATATGGGATATAATGTCCCAGCAGCATCCTAACTTGCTGTACCACAACATCTGTCTCTCAGTTTTTCTATTCTAGAACCACAGAACTTCAAAACTGAAAGAGAATTAAAGGTCATGCAAAATCTTCTCACATGAGCCATGACAGAACTCTTACCAGAAAAAACAAATTTCAAATCTCATTTCCAAAAATACTATTAACATTTTAAATTTTTTATTAAAATTGTTTTTATTTTATTCTATATGACTTCAACAAGATGATAAAAACAAAACTTACCTCAGGTAGTAAAAATAATGCCAAACAAAGTAAGTAGACTTAGCAAACCCCAACTTCACATTTACACAATAATGCTACATATTCACATTTCTTGAAAATACACTGTCAGAATACTTTTATATGACCAGCTAAATGTGGAATTTCTTTTTTTTTTTTAAGGTTTTCTTTTCTTCTTTCTTTTTGGTTGTCATTTTTTTCAGGCATTCTTGCTTTATTTGTTTGTTTATTTTTTTTTTTTTTGGGCAGGCAGAGTGGACAGTGAGAGAGACAGAGAGAAAGGTCTTCCTTTTTTGCTGTTGGTTTACCCTCCAATGGCCGCTGCGGCTGGCGCATTGCGCTGATCTGAAGGCAGGAGCCAGGTGCTTCTCCTGGTCTCCCATGCGGGTGCAGGGCCCAAGCACTTGGGCCATCCTCCACTGCACTCCCGGGCCACAGCAGAGAGCTGGCCTGGAAGAGGGGCAACCAGGACAGAATCTGGCGCCCCAACCAGGACTAGAACCTCGTGTGCCGGCGCTGCAAGGCGGAGGATTAGCCTAGTGAGCTGCGGCGCCGGCCCTAAATGTGGAATTTCTAATACTTCCTCAACAGGTTAAAAAAAAAAAAAAATCACAGTATAGATTGTTCAGTATATTTTTCTGAGTTTTCTGTAAACATTTCACTCTCTGATGATGAAGATTTCAAAGACACAATTCAGATTAAGTAAAGCCAGTAGGTTTGTTTTCATTTTAAAAGTTTTTGTTTGTTTGTTTTGACAGGCAGAGTGGACAGTGAGAGAGAAAGACAGAAAGAAAGGTCTTCCTTTGCTGTTGGTTCACCCTCCAACGGCCGGCGCGCTGCAGTTCGTGCACCACGCTGATCCGAAGGCAGGAGCCAGGTGCTTCTCCTGGTCTCCCATGGGGCACAGGGTCCCAGGACCTGGGCCATGCTCCACTGCACTCCCTGGCCACAGCAGAGAGCTGGCCTGGAAGAGGGGCAACTGGGACAGAATCCGGCGCCCCGACCAGGACTAGAACCCTGTGTGCCGGCGCCTCAGGCAGAGGATTAGCCTATTGAGCCACGGCGCCAGCTAAAAGTTTTTCTTTTGTTCCCTGACCAGAATGAAGAAAGCATAATCACAAGGGTTTATTTCTGTGTTTATGAACCACAGCTCCTTACATTTGTTCCTTATCTACCCAAAACAGGTTGAGCACAATCAAATCCAAAATTCAAAATGCTTCGAAATTTGAAAGCACCAACATGATGTCCAAGTAGAATTTCCTACATCATGAACCCCTGTTTCATGCGCAAAATCATTAAAAATATTGTACAAAATTACCTTCAGGCTATGCATATGAGGTATATGAAATATAAATTAATGTTGTATTTAGACTTGGATCCTATCCCCAAGACACCTCACCTATATTACTAATGTTCCAAAAACCCCAAAATGTTTGAAATCTGAAATCCCAAGAATTTTAGTTAAGTGATACTGTATCATTGTATTTGGACACAAGATCTTCCACATCTTCATAAGCCCCCAAGAAGTCATATATATGATAGGTAAATCACTGATATAGATGTATTCATTCATTCACTCAATATATATATTTTTAAAGATTATCTTCAGAAGATTTTCAATTAGAGTCACAGCTGATTTCTCATGAGAAACGCTACAGGGTAGGAGAGAATGGAAACATACTCTAAGTCTTAAAAGAAAAAAACTATCAACACAGAATACTGTAACCCTGCAAAGCTCTCATTAAAGACTTTCCTTAACAAATAGAAATTCCAAGAATTTGTCATCATTTGTCAAGCCTTACAAATGATGCTAAGGATGTGCTACATATGGAAACACAGAAACACAGTCATCATTATGAAAAAATGTGAAGGCAAGAAATCTAGTAAAAGTACAAAGGAAATCCAAAACAATCAAAAGGAATATTTACAGAAAAATGACAGGGCCAAGTTGTTACTTATCAATAGTAACCTTGAACGGCTGGCCTTGTAGCATAGCATATTAGACCACAGGTCTGAGTCCTGGCTGCTCCACTTCAGATCCAACTCTCTGCTAACGTTCCTGAGAAAAGCAGCAGATGATGGCCCAAGTATATGGGCCTCTGTCACCCACATGGGAGACCTGGAAGAAGCTCTTGGCTTCAGCCTGGCTCAGGACTGACTATGCAACCATCTGGGGAGTGAACCAGTGGATGGAAGATTTCTCTCTTGTTTCTCCTCCTCTCTAGCTCTTTCAAAATAAAGCAAAAAAATCTTAAAAAAAAAAAAAACCTTGAATGTAAATTGCCTAAATTCTCCAATTAAAAGATACATATCGAATGGATTAAAAAACAAGATCTATTTGCTGCCTCCAAGAAACACACTTCACCAACAAAGATACAGAATTAAAGTTAAGGGATGGAAAAGATATTTGATGCCAATGGAAAGCAAAAATCAGCAGGTGCAGCCATCCTACTATCAGACAAAACAGACTTTAACACACAAAAACTGTTAAGAGAGACAAAGAAGGGCATTATGTAATGATTAAGGTATCAATTTAACAGGAAGATGTGACTATAATAAATGTATATGCACCTAATTAAGGGTGCCAAGCTATGTTAAAGGAGCCTAAAGGGAGAGAGATTTCAATACCATAATAATGGGGGACTTCAACATCCCACTTTCAGCAATGGACACATGAACCCAACAGAAAATCAAGAAACAGAGCTGATCTACACTATGAACCAAATGAAGTGAACTAATATCTATAGAACATTTCTATAGATAGTATATCTGCAAATTACACATTCTTTTCATCAGTGCATGGAACTTTCTCTAGGACAGACCATATTGCGAGGCCATAAATTATGCAAGTCTCAACAAATTGAAAAAGACTGAAATCATACCATGTATCTTTTCTGACCACAATGAAATGAAGCTGGAAAGTGAACCTCCCAGAGCCCTTGTTGTGGCTTAGCAGGTAAAAAGCCCACTGCCTGCAAAACCGACATCCCATATGGGCACCAGTTTGAGACCTGGCTGCTCCATTTCCTATCCAGCTCCCAGCTAATGTGCCTGGGAAAGCAGCAGAGGATAGCCCAAGTGCTTGGGTCCCTGCACCCAGATGGTAGACCAAGAAGAAGCTCCTGGCTTCAGCCTGGACCAGCCAAAGCTGTTGCAGCCATTTGGAGAGTGAAGCAGTGGATGGGAGACCTCTTTTTCTTTTTCTATAAATTTGCCTTTCAAATAAAAATAAATAAATCTTTAAAAAGAAAAAATATATACCCCAGATAACATGCAAACACATGGAGATTGAACAACATGCTCCTGAATGAACAATGGGTCACAGAGGAAATAAAAAAATTCCTGGAAATAAATGACAACAACACAACATATCAAAACCTAAAGGATGGGGCATAGTGGGTTAAGCTGCCACCTGCAGCACCAGCATCCCATATGGACACCAGTTCTAGACCTAGCTGCTCAACCTCCAATCCAGCTCCCCGCTAATGCGCCTGGGAAAACAGTGGAAGATGGCCCAAGAGCTTGAGCCTCTGCACCCATGTGGGACATCTGAAAGAAGCTCCTGACTCTTGGTTGTCGCCTGGCCCAGCCTTGGTCATTGTAGCTATTTGAGCAAACAGTCAGCAGATGGAAGATTTCTGTCTCTGTCTATATCTCACTCTCACACTCTTCCTCTGTGTAACTGACTTTCAAATCAATCAATCAATCTTACAAACCCCCCCCCAAAAAAAAACCATTACATAAACTGCTAACAAAAGAATACAGCACAAGGGACAATGAGAACACTCAATGATGAAATACATACCGAAAAGTCAGAAATAAGTGTTTGTTGTGTAAGCCAGCCACTCTATAGTATTTTTGCTACAGAAGCCTAAATTAAGAGAGCTATATTCAAAAAATAAATCAAAATGCAAAACCAGAAAACTGGTGTTAGCTAAGAGAAAAATTGGGATACTGGTAGGAAAGTAAAATGGTGGGGCCAGTGCTGTGGCACAGTGGGTTAAAGCCCTGGCTACTCCACTTGCAATCCAGATCTCTGCTATGGCCTGGGAAAGCAGTACAAAACAGTCCAAGTCCTTGGGCCCCCGCAACCACGTGGGAGATCTAGAAGAAGCTCCTATCTCCTGATTTCAGATCGACACAGATCCAGCCGTTGCAGCCATCTGGGGAATGAATCAGTGATGAAAGACCTTTTTCTCTCTCAATGCAACTCTGGCTTTCAAATTAATTTAAAAAAAAAAGTTATAGCTGCTATGAAAAATACTTTAGTAGTCTCTCAAATAATTAAACATAGACTTACTGTATAATCCAACAAATCCACTCCTGGGTATATAGCCAAAAGAACTAAGAGCAAGGAATCAGACATTTGTATACCAAGATTTATAACTGGATTATTCACATTGGTCAAAAGGTAGAAATCCCCCAAATGTCCATGAATGGATAAGCAAATTTTAATTATTCTCTCTGTCCCTCTCTCTCTCACAGAAACACACAAATATGAATATTCAGTTTAAAAAATAAATTCTGGGCTCGGCGCCGTGGCACAGGTTAATCCTCCGCCTGCGGCGCCAGCAGCCCATGTGGGTGCCGGTTCTAGTCCTGGCTGCCCATCTTCCAACCCAGCTCTTCGTTATGGCCTGGGAAAGCAGAAGATGGCCTGGGTCCTTGGGCCCCTGCACCCACATGGGAGACTGGGAAGAAGCTCCTGGCTCCTGGCTTCAGATTGGCGCAGCTCTGGCCGTTGTGGCCATTTGGGGAGTGAACCAACGGCGGAAAGACCTGTCTCTTCCTCTCACTGTCTGCAACTCTCTCAAGTAAATAAATAATCTTTAAAAAAAATTTTAAAAAAATTCTGATACAAGCTACAAAGGATGAACCTTGAAAATATTGGGCTGAGTGAAATAAGCCAGATACAAAATAACAAATATTATTGCACTCTACTTCTATGAGGTACCTACAATAATCAAATTCATAAAAGAAGCAGGTAGAAACAGTATGAGCTGATCCTCTGGAGACAGCAGTAATAGTTGCACAACAATGCCAAAGCATATACGTATTTATTAAATCCTATATTTTAAAATGGTTAAAATGGGGTGAATATTTGGTACAGCAGTCAAGACTATACTTGGATACCAGCACCCCATTTCAGAGTACCTATGTTTGAGTCCTAATCCAACTGGAAGTGGGACCAGGACCCACTTTCAATTCTAGCTTCCTGCTAATATGCACCCTGAGAGGCAGTAGGTGTCAGCCCAAGTAGTTTGGTCCATGACACTGGCCCAACCTTAGCTGTTGCAGCCATTTGGGCAGTGAACCAGCACAATGAAGACTATCTGTGTCTGTCTCTCTCTCTCCATCTATGTGCCTTTTACATAAATGAAAAAAAATTTTAATAGCTAAAATGGCCAACTTTATGTTATGTATATTACCTAAGTACACACAAACAAAAAACCACAGACCTCATTTAGAGTCCAACCCCCACTCTCCCTTTTTTTTAATTCAAGGTGATTCTAGACACAAAAACCCAGAATCAGGAATCACTGTTAGGTGCAGGAATCTGGACTACAAGTTAAGATACTATCTAGGGGCCGGCGCCGCGGCTCACTAGGCTAATCCTCCACCTTGCGGCGCCAGCACACCGGGTTCTAGTCCCGGTCGGGGCACCGGATTCTGTCCCGGTTGCCCCTCTTCCAGGCCAGCTCCCTGCTGTGGCCAGCGAGTGCAGTGGAGGATGGCCCAGGTACTTGGGCCCTGCACCCCATGGGAGACCAGGAAAAGCACCTGGCTCCTGCCTCCTGCCATCGGATCAGCGCGGTGCGCGGGCCGCAGCGCGCCAGCCGCGGCGGCCATTGGAGACAAACCACTAATCATACAAAACACAGTATAAAAGATGTAGTTCTAGAAAAAAAATCTCAAAGTTAAACCAATTATTTAGCAAACTACAAATTTGGAGAATTGGAAAACATATTTTGGGTTTATCTTGGCTATTGCGGCCATTTGGGAAGTAAATCAGCAGATGAAAGGTCTCTCACTCTTTCTCTGCCATTCTTTCAAATACATAAATCTTCTGGAAAAAAAAGGTCTGCTCCCTGTTTTATTTACTGGACTAGTTCTGTCTACCAGAGAAATATAAAATGCCAAGAACTGCATGAATATTTTTTAAAATACATCATCTGGTCAGTCATCCTTTCCTAAGTTCCATACATCCATTTCCTCAGTTCTTCATGAGTCATTTTCCAGACTCTGCCCTGTTCTGGTTGTCATCCTCCCAACAGACTCTTGTTTACCTATTATGTAAATTGTCTCAAGTCCAGTTTTTCTAAAATCTCTGGAACTTTCAATGAATTACAGATGGCAAAAAGATATAGAGAGTATGTATATGTGAGCTCTGTTTAATTTTCCTTGACGAACCAAGCAACTGATATTGGAGATAACCTTAAAAAACTTTATTCTATAATCTCTTTAGCTTTCTCAATGGACAATTATTGGATGTTCTATCTATACCTCCTCTGTGACTACGTGATATCAAAACGTAGGAGCTCAAGCACTTCATCACAGAGTACGACACTTCCACTCAAGAGTTCGGAGAGCCTTTTTAGAAAACTTCACCCTCAGAAAAGTGTTCTTGATCCCCCACCCCTGGATTGTATAAATCCTTAATATATGGAATTTTTGCAGTGAAGAGACATACTTTATGATAGTTGACCACATTTCCGTATCAAATAAAGATGTCAAACCAAAAAAACCTCTTAAAAATTCAGTATTAGTGATCTAAAACTTGAATACAACTAATTACATGAATAATTTTCCTTATCTCGCTAAATTTTACATCACTTACAAACTAAAGAGTATTTGAGGGTATGAATAAAATCAGATGAACCTTATTTTATCTATTTACATGACATTCACAAATAAGCCAATAAAATAACTGGATCTAAACTTCCAGAATTAAAACAGACCAGATTCTCTTGAAAAGACCAGTTTAATAACTTACTTGGATACTTTTCAAATAAAATTGACTCTGCCTTTAAATGTCAAAATACCTCACATAGGTATAGAACATACACATAAAATAGGAAGAAAGAGTATTTTAATCCTCCGCCTTGTGGCGCCGGTACACTGGGTTCTAGTCCCAGTCGGGGCGCCGGATTCTGTCCCAGTTGCCCCTCTTCCAGGCCAGCGCTCTGCTGTGGCCCGGGAAGGCAGTGGAGGATGGCCTAAGTACTTGGGCCCTGCACCCCATGGGAGACCAGGATAAGTACCTGGCTCCTGCCATTGGATCAGCGCAGTGCGCCAGCCGCAGTGGCCATTGGAGGGTGAACCAACGGCAAAGGAAGACCTTTCTCTCTGTCTCTCTCACTGTCCACTCTGCCTGTCCAAAAAAGAAGAAAAAAAAAAAAAAAAAGGAAAGAGTATTTTAAAAAACAGCATTATTGTTTATACAGAAAACCTCATAAGATAATTATCACCACAAAACTTGATGTGTAGTGTTGATACTACTAAGCTTTTCCAAAATGCAAAATTTTGCATTTAAGCTAGCTTATATTTTATTTTTAAAATACCAAGTATTTTTGGGAGGGCCAGCACAGTGGTGTGGCGGGTTAATGCCCTGGCCTGAAGCGCCGGCATCCCATATGGCGCTGGTTCTAGTCCCAGCTGCTCCTCTTCCAATCCAGCTTTCTGTTATGGCCTGGGAAAGCAACAGAAGATGGCCTAAGTCCTTGGGCCCCTGCACCCACATGGGAGACCCAGAAGAAGCTCCTGGCTCCTGGCTTCAGAGAGGCGAAGCTCCGGCTGTTATGGCCAATTGGGGAGGGAACCAACGGATGGAAGACCCCTCTCTCTCTGTCTCTGCCTCTCCTCTCTGTGTAACTCTGACTTTCAAATGAAAAAAATACCAACTATTTTTGGAAGTCATGCATACTGCAAATGATTCAGCAAAAATTCATATTCCAATATTTTTAACAGATGTAAAAATGCATTTTATACAAATTACAACTATTATACTTAGCAACTGACAAACAAGCGTATTACCAAATGTTAGCTGGCATATGTATCAAAAGCTGGATTTTTTTATTTGCTTATTTGTGACAGGATTTTTAAAGATTGCTATGTTTTCTTCAACCTTGAGACATAAATGTGAACTATTAAAAAAATTTGACAAACCAATTACCTAATTTATAATCCGTATTTATATACCGTTAAAGTATATTAACTTCCTTTCAAGCTTAAAAGTAGTTGATTGCTTTATGAAACTTTATAAATTATACTAACTGTAAAATAATTACAACTTAAAGTACTATTAGCTAAATTGAACACATAATTGAAAAGGAATATACAGGAGCTGGCACTGTGGCATACTGGGTAAAGCCACTGCCTACAGTGCCGGCATCCCATACGGGCACTGATTAAAGTCCCAGCTGTTCCACTTCCAATCCAGCTCTCTGCAATGTCCTGAGAAAGCAGTGGAGGGTAGCCCAAATCCTTGGGCCCCTGCATCTGAGCAGGAGACCTGGAAGAAGCTCCCAGCTCCTGATCAACCCAGCTCTGGACGTTGGGGCCATTTGGGGAGTGAACCAGCATATGAAAGACTTCAATCTCTCTCTCTCTCTCTGCAACTCTGCCTTTCAAAGAAATAAATAGATCTTTAAAAATAAAAAGGAATATATATATATATTCATATACATATAAAATAGGTAAGCATACAATTTAATAAATATATGAACCCTCTCAAACACACACAATTTTCTTACCTCTGAATTTATCTCTGTGCCTTGTGTCTGACTTTGCTGTTTCTGGTGTCCTGCCACCAAGCCTCCAGTAGTGGGGTTTGGATAGTTGTGAGATCCGGAGAAATTTCCTTCTGTAATTCCCACAGTGGCTGAGTGTTTCTCTTGAGTATTACTATGCCCAGGCCCAGCATGTCCACCCATGTGCTGATTTGGAAAGGACGGTAACATGCCCATTCTACCTGTTATTAGAGTTCAATCAGATTAGATGATGTAGTGAACCATAAAATGCAAAAAGCTTTTGGTTAGACAAGATTCAAATTAGTGCTCTTGATTTTGTTATGGGCAAAATGAGGAAACCTATTTCGTACCTATTAGAAAACAGTTAAATTCAGAAAAGAGAGGTCAGAAGTTGTAGAGTACAGAGATTCCTTTATAAAAAAAATAGGAATGATGCTCTTTTTATTTCTATAATAAACTCAATTATATTTATACTCTAAAATGTATGTTGATTAGTTTAAATGCTGAGCACAGGATTTATGTTTTTTGGCATTTAAGTTCTATTCATATTTAAACAGAATAATTAAAATTATTAAGTTTAAAAGTTCTCTAGGAGCATGCCTTCCAGCACAGCAGGTTAAGCCACAGATGGGACAATAGTATCCTATACTGGAGTGACAGCTGAGTCCCAGCTACTCTGCTTCTAACGTAGATTCCTGCTAAAGTCCCAGGAAAGCAACAAATGATGGATCAAGAAAGTATTTGAGTTCCTGCAACCCACATGGGAGACCCATTTAGTTCCTGGTTCCTGGCTTCAGACTCGCCCAGATGGAAGATCTCTGTGTCTGTGTGTATGTCTGAAATAAATAAATAAACCTTTAATAAAGTTTGATTAAATCCAACAGCAAATTTGGTTAGCAGCTTAAACTTGCCAATGAGAGTCAATTATGTAACTCTTTTCAAACTAAATCAGCCTACACATAAGACTTCGTTTATACCTACAGAACTGGCTGTTAAACATTAGCACATCATTGTTGCTTTTCTTTTTAATTTGTGCTTGTGAATAGATAAGTACTAAATTTGAAATAAAAGTTTCATGTTTTTATTTAGAGAAATGAGAAATTCTGGGAGAAATCAAAAAGTTTTAACAGAGAAATCTGGAACCACTCCACTTTGTAAAAATCAATAGGTTGAGGCCAATGCTGTAGCACAACATGTTAAGACATTGCCTGTGACACTGCCACCCTCATACTGGAGCACTTGTTCGAGTCTTGGCTGTTCCACTTCTGACGCAAGCTTCTTGCTAATGTGCCTGGAAAAGCAGAGGAAGATGGACCAAGTACCTGGAACCCTGCCATCTACCCGGGAGACCAGGATAGACTTCTGGGTTCCAGGCTTTAGCCTAGACCAGCCCTGGCCATTGGTGCCATTTGGAGAGTGAACCAGATGGAAAATCTCTATTTCTGTCTTCTCCCTGTCACTCTGTTTTCAAATAAATAAAATCTTCTTATTTTATTTATTTATTTTTTTGACAGGCAGAGTGAGTGAGAGAAAGAGAGAAAGGTCTTCCTTTTTCCATTGATTCACTCCCCTAATGGCCGCCATGGCTGGCGCTGGGCCGATCCAAAGCCAGGAGCCAGGTGCTTCCTCCTGGTCTACCATGCGGGTGCAGGCACCCAAACACTTGGGCCAGCCTCCACTGCCCTCCTGGGCCACAGCAGAGAGCTGGTCTGGAAGAGGAGCAACCGGGACTAGTATCTGCCGCCCCAAGCACCGCAGGCAGAAGATTAGCCAAGTGAGCCACGGCACCAGCCAAATAAATAAAATCTTCTAAAAAATAAAATAGGAGCCAGCATTGTGGTGCAGTCGGTTAACTGCTGCCTGTGACACTGGCATCTCATGTAAGCGCAGGTTTCAGTCTTGGCTGCTCCACTTCCAATCCAGCTCCCCTATTACTGCGCCTGAGAAATCAGTAAAATATGGCCCAAACACTTTGGCCCTTGCTACCCATGTGGGAGACCTAGAAGGTCCAGGCTCTTGGCTTCAGTCTGGCCCAACGTGGGCCATCTTGGGAGAGAACCAAGAGAAAGATCTCTTCATTCCTCTGTCTCCCCCTCTCTTTCTGTAACTCTGCCTTTAAAATAAATGTTAAAGAAACAAAAACAAAATGGCCGGCGCCATGGCTCAATAGGCTAATCCTCCACCTTGCGGCGCCGGCACACCAGGTTCTAGTCCTGGTTGGGGCGCCGGATTCTGTCCCGGTTGCCCCTCTTCCAGGCCAGCTCTCTGCTATGGCCCGGGAGTGCAGTGGAGGATGGCCCAAGTGCTTGGGCCCTGCACCCCATGGGAGACCAGAAGCACCTGGCTCCTGCCTTTGGATCAGCGCGGTGCGCCGGCCGCAGCGCTCCGGCTGCGGCAGCCATTGGAGGGTGAACCAATGGCAAAAGGAAGACCTTTCTCTCTGTCTCTCTCTCACTGTCCACTCTGTCAAAAATAAAAAATAAAAAAAATTAAAAAAAAAAACCTGTATACCATAAAAAAGTCAAAAGGACAAAATTAAATGAAAAGAGCTAATTTTGATGAATACTTTAAACCAAATTTACATTTTACATATTCACTATACATACTTCCTAAACCTCTTTTAATATTAAACATTTGGAGATGGATAGTTTGTTTCTCCTATCTTTTAGTGATGTATTTATTTGGACACTAAATTTTCAATGTTTTTAATGTAGCATATGCTAAAGCAAATAGCTTATTACTTAATCCAACATGAGTTATAATAACATAAGCTTTTAGTCAAAGAAAATTGAATTCTGGAAGAGGACATCACACCATAAAAATTCCTTCAGACTTAATTTACAAACACTAGATATTCCTTTTGTAAAAGCAAAGGGATTTTTACCCATGCAAAAATTAAATGCATACTTATATAACATGCTGTCAACCCAGTGGGCAGCATGTCAGTCTCAAATGGATCTATGTCTTTACCTCATACTGCTGTGAACCTGCATAAAATATTAAAGCATATCCAACAGGGAAAGTCTTATTTTGGCATGGTAGCAAGTCTATCAGTAAACTATCAATATTAAAAAATAAAACAGTCAAGAGAGGTATTGTTATCTTAAATGACTGAATAAAACCCAAATGTGACCTTCCTAATAAGGGTAGGAATATTTTTTCTGGCAAAGGCCATTTGGATATTTGTAACATCATTCACAGGCCATGCCATATGAAATTATCAACATATAATTAACCTGCTAAGGATTTATTGCATTTCAAGTCCACCTAGGGGTCCTTTGGCAGGGACCAGTAGTTGCCATGGCAGGACCAGAAAAAATCATTCTGAAGGCCTTGCACAGCCCACAGGCAAGACCCTACCCACCCATGCTGTAAATAAAAGTATCATACAGGTAAGCTATCTTTAAATCTTGAACTTCACTGTTTACTGACTTCTCAGTAAATACACATTATTTACTTTTATGTGCTTCACCAGGATGTCCCAATTCCGTTTTCAATGGACGTGATGACCCTCTCCCTAATGCATTCTGAAGTACCATAGGTGGGGCTTCTCCAAGTAAACCAGGTTTCTACAAATAAAGAAAAGATAGTAAAACTGTTGCTCATAGCAGAAGATATAACCCAATTCACAGGCTGCACATATGAAAATTCACAAACAATCTGATCAACAGCCTGATTCTAGGAAAGGAGAAAACTGATTTTGGAAGAAAAAAGCACTGTAGTTACCTTATTAATATGGATATTCTCAAACTTCATAAACTGTTGCTGTGTCATTGGTACATGAGAAAGATTCTGAAGGAATAAATTAGAAGTATTACCTATAACTGAGCCCTGTGAAAATGATAAATTATTAACCCATCATCCTATAAATAGGACACCTGCAAAAACTTAAATTAAGCAATATACTACCTATGGTAACTTTGAAAGAAATATTGTTTTTAGAGTTCTTTTTTTTTTTTTGAGGATAAAGGACTATAGGATTTGAAAATACTTTTAAATTCATGAAAATGGCATAGACTTCATCAGAAAAGTTACTTTTACTGACTATTCAATGAAACAAAACATTATGTATGGAACTAGTATGTAATACAAGAAATGCATTCATAGAAAGTAATTTCTGGGGCCAATGCTGTGGCGCAGCACATTAACACCCTGGCCTGAAGTGCCGGCATCCCATATGGGCGCTGGTTCTAGTCCCAGCTGCTCCTCTTCCAATCCAGCTCTCTGCTGTGGCCCGGGAGGGCAGTGGAGGATGGCCCAAGTCCTTGGGTCCCTGCACCCACATCAGAGACCCAGAAGAAGCTCCTGGCTCCTGGCTTTGGATCGGCACAACTCTGGCCGTTGTGGCCAATTGGGGAGTGAACCATCGGACAGAAGACTTCTCTCTTTCTGCCTCTCCTCCCTCTCTGTAACTCTTTCAAATAAAAAATAAATCTTAAAAAAAAAATTAGGCTGCCATTTTGAGGAATGCACTGTACTTCAAATGATCAATGTTCAAAATAAATAGATGGCTGGCGCCGCGGCTCACTAGGCTAATCCTCGGCCTAGCGGCACTCGCACACCGGGTTCTAATCCTGGTCGGGGCACCGGATTCTGTCCCGGTTGCCCCTCTTCCAGGCCAGCTCTCTGCTGTAGCCCGGGAGTGCAGTGGAGGATGGCCCAAGTGCTTGGGCCCTGTACCCCATGGGAGACCAGGAGAAGCACCTGGCTCCTGCCTTCGGATCAGCGCGGTGCGCCGGCTGCAGCAGCCATTGGAGGGTGAACCAACGGCAAAGGAAGACCTTTCTCTGTCTCTCTCTCTCACTGCCCGCTCAGTCAAAAAAAAAAAAAAAAAAAATGACCTATAAGTAGGACGCTGGAACCATGTATACTGTATAGTAATATGTAGTGAACTATACTCTTGCCTGACAAAATCCAATCTGTTGCTACTTGTGATTCTTTGTGGACAGACTGTAACCTGTGTGCTTGGGAGTAAGATAGTTCTACAAATCCTTAAAGTGGTAGGGAATCCACAATCACACTGTTTTTTAGAACAATCTACTCACTGATTATGATCTGTTGAAACATCTTGGTACTGGAGTCCAAGCTACATGCACCAAAAGGAAAAAGAGACTAAACAAGTACCCTCAGAAACTGAAAACACTGATAAAGAAACAAGCAAAAGGGTCATATGATTACAGATTCAATACAAAAAATGAATCAATTGCTTGGTTCCAAATATTCCATTTCTTTTTTTCTTTTTTAATTAGGCAGAGTTAGAGAGGGAGAGAGAGAGAAAGGTCTTCCTTCTGTTGGTTTAACTCCTAAATGGTTGCTACACCAGTGCACTGCGCTGATCCAAGCCAGGAGCCAGGTGCTTCCTCCTGGTTTCCCAGCGGTGCAGGGCCCAAGCATCTGGGCCATCCTCCACTGCCTTCCCGGGCCACAGCAGAGAGCTGGACTGGAAGAGGAGCAACCAGAACTAGAACCCAGTACCCAATGGGATGCCGGCACCGCAGGCAGAGGACTAACCAAGTGAGCCATGGTGCTGGCCCCTAAATATTCCATTTCTATTTGAGGTTAAAAAAAAAAAAATGGTTTTAGCTTTTGTTCACTCAAATAACTGATACATGTATCAGAAATGTATGGGCTATTTACAAATTTGAGAACAAATTCAAGAATGGTCTCATAAATGTATTGGGTTTCAAAAGAGACATCTGTTTAACAAACCTAAAAGAATGCAATAAGAAATCATCAGGAGCAAGACAGAACTCCTAAACCTACCACTGTCCAAGTTGGTATCAGATTTGACATGAAAAGGTATATTAGTCTCAAGAGTCACAATGTCAAAACAAGCCACGTCCTTAAAAACAACACACTGGGGTGGCACTGTGGCGTAGCAGGTAAAACCGCCACCTGCGGTGCCCACATCCCATATGGGTGCGAGTTTGAGTCCTGGCTGCTCCACTTCCAGTCCAGCTTTCTGCTATGACCTGGGAGAGGAGAAGATGGCCCAAGTCCTTGGGAACCTGTAATCGCATGGGAGACCCAGAAGTAGCTCCTGGCTCCTGATCAGCGCAGCTCCAGACATTGCGGCCATCTGGGGAGTGAACTAGCAGATGGAAGACTCTCTCTCTCTCTGTAACTATGCCTTTTAAATAAATAACTCTTTTTTAAAAATCATCTAAAATGTAATACAACCCTTTGTTTAAGGTGTTTTGCTCCTTTCCAACAAAAGTAATTATTGAACAGGTCATGAAAATTGCTTCTTTGTATACTGTACAATGTATGAAAGGAATATATATTTGTTCAGTATCCTGTAAGAAGGCTTATATATGTAAAAGATATCATATTGTCCCAGTGTTCCATTTATAGGACAATCTATATTTTTATTCTTAATGATAATAATAAGGAATACAGCAACTCCTGATTATGATTTCTAAACTATTTCAATTTACCTGTGTCAATTTCATTGCAATATTGGCAGAACTGAAAACTTGGGGCTTAACAGATCAAGTTAGCTTAATTATAAATTACTTGTATAACCCAAATCATTAATGGTCACCTCTCCAGGTGACTTGAGTAAAAGCTACACATTCTTAATATAATATCCCACTTTCCAACTTCAGGCAATGTTAATTTTAATTATTCTTTTGATAAAACACAAGAGGTGACCATGTGGTTATAAAACTAATCCACTTCCTTTGTCCTTCCCTCTCTCACTCTGTTCAAGCTTTAATGACAATGACATTATATGCATTCATTTGATCGATCCAAGATCTACTGGGCACTTTCTAAGTGACAGGCATTGTGTTACACAGTGAGAAATAGAACAGTATAATATGCCCTCAGGGACCTTATAGTCTTCTGAGGAAGAGAAACACCCAATGGGAAAACCTAAGTAACTACAAATGTTAATTACTTGAAAGAAAATTACAAGGAGTTATGAGAACAAATTATGGAGGAATTTGATTTAGACTGGAAGATTCAATGACTGTTTCTCTAAGGAACTACCTCTTGCGTTAAGATTGAAGGCTGGACAGAGTAACTATGGAAAGGTGGGGGATTATGTAGTATTGGGGTGGGGGGCACATTCCTGGAAGGGGCAACAGGAACAAACACTTAAGGAGAACAAGGTTTTTCAAAGACCAATGGTAGGCAACTGTAGCAGGACAGTGGTGTGCAACAAGCATGAAAGGCAGAGGGACCAGGTGTACACACATTAAAAGTAAAATTAAACATTCTGATCTTTCTCCTAAAACAAAGAGAATATTACCAATCTCTGAAATCTTCCTCTCATATCACTCTCAGCTACTGTAATTTATTATTTAATGTTTCTTTTCCCTATTGGTTGAGATTCTCTACAAAAGACATTATGAATGTTCTGTACAATTACTAACACATACATGTTATCAATTCTCAATAAAAGATGTTGAGGAGTAAATGAATAAAAATCCTATAATATAAATAATAAATATAAATATAAATAAATAATAATTAATATAAAGTCCTATGTTAGCTTTTTAAAATTAAAAAAATAAAAGTAAGCTTTTTTTTTTCTCAAAATTCTAGATTTAGGACCACACACTGGATTAATTCACTCTACTCAAGTGTTTACAATATATTAATTTTTATTTGTAATTAGAATTCTATACTCTTAAAAATATGAAATTTTTATCTAAAATATTATGGTTATTTACATACATCAATATAGATGTTGAGTGTCTGAAAATAGCAAGAAAAAACTCTTTATGTAAATATATGAAATTTTATAACACTGAATAAACTTTAAGAATTAACAGGCATTTGTTTCTTCAAGATGAGAAAAGAAGCCTTGTTTCGAACAACTAATTATGTGGCACAGCGGGAAAACGCCCTGGCCTGAAGGGCCGGCATCCCATATGGGCGCAGGTTCTAGTACCGGTTGCTCCTCTTCTGATCCAGCTCTCTCCTGTGGCCTGGGAAAGCAGTAGAGGATGGCCCAAATGCTTGGGCCCCTGCACCCACGAGGGAGACCCGGTGAGGCTCCTGGCTCCTGATCGGCACAGCTCCGGCCGTTGCGGCCATCTGGGGAATGAACCAATGGATGGAAGACCTCTCTCTGTGTCTCTAACTCGTCTTTCAAATAAATAAAATGAATCTTAAAAAAAAAAAAAAAGGCTATTACTGACAGTGCTTTATTAAAAAAAAAAATTCATAGTTCTTTCCTTCTTATGCTTTGGTTTGCCTAACTGATCTGATATACTCATTAACTTCTAACTTTATGTAACTATTATTATGGATTATTTATAATATACTCAGTTAATTTCTTGAGAACTTGAAGTGTTAAGAAAAAAGTATTCAATCTAAATTTTGATGCTTCAGTACTCCATGTTATTTACAAACCTGATGTGCTTTATTCAATTGTAAGAGTGCTGAAGAGACAGAGGGATTCATCAAAGGTGGCAAGTTGTGTGGTGCTCCAAGACCTTCAATAGAAAAGCAAAAATTAAACGTTTAAGTTACAGGGAATTTAAAATAAACAAAATAAGTTCCAAAAAAGAGTAAATGAATAGTTCTTTAAACTTTTAACAAGCTGTTTAGAAGTCCAAGGATAAACTGACCTTGTCATTGGTAAAAGAAGAGACTCCTTGTGACTCAACCATGGAATGTGTTTTCAAATTCCAACATCTTCTGCCATAATTGTGAAACACCAACTACTCTAGTAGTAAAACTCTAGCACTCAGTGCAACAAAAATAATTCCATCTTTCAATGAGTATAGTGCTAACAGAACCCATTTGCTTTAAACTTTTTATTTTTTTTTTAGGTGTTTGGGACAGGGGAAGGGTATCGATAAGATACAACTCTTGTCCTTTAAAAGCTTACGTAAGAGGCTGGTGCTGTGGCGTAGCGGGTAAAGCTGCCGCCTGCAGTGCCAGTATTCCATATGGGCACCAGTTCAAGTCCCAGCTGCTCTACTTCCGATCCAGCTCTGCTATGGTCTGGGAAAGCAGTGGAAGATGGCCCAAGTCCTTGGGCCCCCACACCCACATAGGAGACTCAGAAGAAGCTTCTGGCTCCTGGCTTTGCATCAGCGCAGTTCCGGCCATTGTGGCCATTTGGGGAGTGACCCAGAGGATGGAAGATCTCTCTCTTTCTGCTTCTCTTTAACTCTGCCTTTAAAATAAATAAATCTTAATTTAAAAAAAAAGCTTACATAAAATGAACTCTTGACACTACATTTTGTAATTTAAATATAACAAATTATGTAATACTGAACTACTGTCAGGTTAGTGAAATAAATCCTTGTTGCATCCAAACTTTTTAGCAATTGTGTAAGTCTACACTGGAATCATCTCAGAGGGCAATAAAACAATAACACCTTGGGGCCAGCGCTGTGGCATAGCGGTGAAGCCACCGACTGCAATGCCGCTATCCAATATGGATGCCAGTTTTAGTCCTGGTTGTTCCACTTCCTATACAGCTCTCTGCTATGGCGTGGTAAAACAGCAGAAGATGGTCCAAATCTTTGGGCCCCTGCATCTGTGTGGCAGACCCAGCAGAAGCTCCTGGCTCCTGGCTTCAGATCGGCCCAGTTCTGGCCGTGGTGGCCATTTGGAGAGTCAACCAGCAGATGGAGGACCTCTCTCTCTCTACCATTCAAATATATAATAAATACATATAATATATATAATAAATATATATATAATAAATCTTAAAATAATTTGAAACAACATCTTAGTTTCACATATAAAATTTTATCAGGTAAGGCCGCCACCAGCAGTGCCGGCATCCCATATGGGTACCAGTTCATGTCCCAGCTCCACTTCTGATCCAGCTCTCTGCTATGGCCTGGGAAAGCAGTAGAAGGTGGCCCAAGCACTTGGACCCCTGCACCCACGTGGGAGACCCAGATGAAGCTCCTGGCTTCAGATCAGTGCAGCTTCAGTTGTTGCAGCCAACTGGAGAGTGAACCAGCAGATGGAAGACCTCTCTCTTTCTGCCTCTCCTCTCTCTTTGACTTACAAAGAAATAAATAAATCTTTAAAAAAAAATTCTATCAGGTAATCAAATAAGCCACAAAAAAGTATGTAAGTAAAAACTTTCAATACTCTTTCCTTCTAATGAGGAATGTGTAGGAATAGTGGGAACGTTGAATTATAATATTAATTAAGGGAAGTTATAATAATCTGAGGGTATATGAAAGAGGGGCCTTTTAGGACTCAGCTACATCATTGGGCCATTTCTTTTTCTTTTTTTTTTTTTTTTAAGATTTATTTATTTGGGGGGGGTGGGGGGTCTTCCATCTACTGGTGGTTCAGTCCCCAAATGGCCCCAATGGCCAGAGTTGAGGTGATTCGAAACCAGGAGCTTTTTCCAGGTCTCTCATGTGGATGCAGAGATCCAATGACTTGGGCCATCCTCTGTTGTTTTCCCAGGTACATCAGCAGGGAGCTGGATTGGAAGTGGAGCAGCTGGGACTCAAACCGTGCCCATATAGGATGCTAGCATTGCAGGCCAGGGCTTTAACCCCCAGCGATGGCCCCAGTTGGGGCATTTCTGAGTGGACTGAAATACCAACAGAACTTCCATGTAGCAATGTTACGCAATTATGTATAGAAAATTAGGGAAAATGTTACTTGACTAACAAAAATAACATGAGTGAAAGAGTTATCACTATTTTTAATTCTGGAGTTGAAGTCCAAAGAATTGGGTTTCTGAAAAAAACGCATCCCCTCCTAAATAGTAAGAACCTGGGGCAAACCATCTAAATTCCAGGTGCTGGCACTATGGCATACCAGGTTAAGCTGCCACCTGCAGAAGCGGCATCCTATATGGGCACTGGTTCAAGTCGTGGTTGCTCCACTTCCAATCCCAACTCTTGCTGATGCCCTAGGAAAGCAGTAGAGGATGTCCCATATAATTGGGACCCTGCACCAGCATAAGAGATTTGGATGAAGCTCTTGGCTTTGGACTGGCTCAGCACTGGCTATTCCAGCCATGTGGGGAGTGAACTAGTGGATGAAAGATCAATCAATCAATTGATCTCTCTTTCTCTCTCTCTCTCTCCATTTTCCAGTCTCTGTAATTCTGAATTTCAAATAAATAAATCTTAAACAATAAAAATAAAACTACAAAGCTGTAGATGTATCAACAATGTAATAAGGCAAATGAAAACATAACTCCTCAAAAAAATTATTGTGAGAAACATTAAGTAGTATGCCAAAACATTTTAAAAATTTCACTCAAGTCATAGATTCATTATTCAATGAGTTGCCAATAATAATGCAGGAAACAGGAGAAAGGAATTTCCTAAGATAACATAAAATTTAAACCCATCTGGCAACTTCCAAAACATTGATTATACACATATACATAGACATGATAGCACCAATTTTACTTTATTTTTTAAATTTATTTTATTTATTTATTTGAAAGTCAGAATTACACACGGAGAGAAGGAGAGGCAGAGAGATGTCTTCTATCTGCTGGTTCACTCCCCAATGGGCTGTAACAGCCAGGAGCTGAGAGCTTCCTCTGGGTCTCCCATGTGGATGCAAAGACCCAAGGACTTGGGCCATCCTCTACTGCTTTCCCAGGCCACAGCAGAGAGCTGGATTGGAAGTGGAGCAGCCAAGGACTCGAACCGGTACCCACATGGAATGCCAGCACTGTAGGCAGCAGCATCAACCACTACACCACAGCACCATCCCCAATACCAATTTTAAAAACTGGTAACCATATTAATATCAAAACAGGACATAAATAAATCCATTTTAAAAGGGGTTGGGGAGGGTCTGGCATTATAGCATAGCAGGTACAGCTGCTGCCTATGATACCAGCATCCAGTATGGGCGCTGCTTCCTATCCCAGCTGTTCTGTTTCCAATCCAGCTACGTGCTAATTCCCTGGGAAAAGCAGCATAACATGGCCCTAGTCTTTGAGCCCCTGCCACTTAATGTGGGAGACCTAGCTGAAGCTCCTGGCTCCCAGCTTCAGCCTGGCCCAGAACTGGCCATTGTGGTCATCTGGGGAGTGTACCAGTGGATGGAAGATCTTTCTCTGTCTCTCCCTCTATCTGCAACTCTTTCAATAATGATATTTTTTTTAAACAGTACAGAGCAAAGAACATTAACCAAGAATAAAAATGGCCATTTCTTAACAAAGGTGCCAATCATCAAGAGATGAAATCTTATTAAATGTGTACCAAATAATAAAGTGTTAAAATACATAGTTTACAGAACTGAAAGGAAAATTTAACCAAGCTACAATTATTAATAGAGTTGAACACCCCCTCCTGTCAGTCACTATGTTTTTGTTCTAGAACACTGAAATAAATTTTCTTCATAGCTTGTACTGAACACAGTATCTCCCAACTTACAATAAAAACCACAAGATGAATAATGATTCAATTGAAAGAAGGTATAGAAGCTCTGCATTCGGGACCCTTCCTAACCTGGCCTCAAGGACCTCTTCAATTAGCTGTTCCTGACTTACATCCTTTACAACAAAACTGTAATATTAACTAGAATGCTTCTCTGAGTTCAGTAAGTCATTCTAGAGAATTACTGAACCTGAGGGGATCAGAGGAACTCTCAAATTTGTAGCCAATTGACCAGAAGTGCAGATGGTTTAGTGGAACCCCTGACCTTGCAGCTGGGGTCTAAAGTACAGACAACAAACATATGGAAGAATGAGCCCTTAACTTGTGAAGTCCAGATAGGTAGGGGCAGAATTCAACTGCAGTACATATTTTGGTATTAGACCAGTGCATACTGACTGAAAAATACATTTAATACATGTACTTTAAACATATTTGTTCTAAATATTAGTGCTGAATTTAGAAAATCACTCACTCATAAAGCTAAACAGACTTTCAGTGTATGTAAAGCTGTGTGTTTAAAAAGGAAGTTCTTATCAAATAAAGAATATTAAATATTGATCTATGTTTATATAAGTACTTGTGTAATACTTAGAAAATAATGCTTTTGTCATTTGCTGTAAAGTGAAACAATTTTGCAGCAAAAAAGGAAAGAACAAAGAAGAAACAGACCTGTATTTTCAACAAAATAATTCAGCTAAAAATATTACATGGGAAAGAATTATGCCCCTTGTAGATATAGAATGTAACAATGGGGGCCAGAACTGTGGCATAAGATAAGCATCCGCCCGTGGCACCAGCATCCCACATAGGTGCTGGTTCAAGTCTTGGCTGCTCTACTTCCAATCCAGCTCCCTGTTAATGCACCTGGGAACACAGCAGAAGATGGCCCAAGCATTTGGGCCGCTGTACCTGCCTGGGAGACCCAGATGAAACTCCTAGCTCCTAGCTTTGGATCCACGCAGCTCTAGCCACTGTGGCCACTTGGAGAGTAAACCAGCGAATGGAAGATTCTCTGTCTCTCCCCTCTGTTTGTAACTACGCCTCTCCAGCAAATAAATAAATTTATTAAAAAATGTAGTAATTATTACCTATATAAATTCAACCCAACTAAGAGCTAATCTGAATCTTTTATATTTAGCAAGTATTAGTGACAATAAAAATAGGAAATATGTAAGTGGATTGCATCAACCAAAAACAGAATACATTATCATCTCAGACCACTGATTAAAATTCATTACTAGGTTCAGGAAAAGTTACTTTCAGAATAATTTAAATGTATTATTTTATGTGCAAATACATTTTTCACATTTCATATGTAAAGCAGCACACTGAACTTCACATCAACATTCTATATTTAATATACACTGTGCTTACCTGGTTTAACACCTCGTCCACACAACTGGGGTTGTAAAAGAACTTGTAACATGGCAGGGTTATTTAAACTTTTCATAATTTGTTCTGGATTTGGCTCTGGAAGTAGGCCCTTTTGATTACTGTGCATCTTTGATGATACAGAAATAAGAAATATTAGAACATACATAAGTACAAATGACAAAATTTTAAACACTGTCCTAAAGAAATCTCATTCACCTTATATCATCTACTTTATAACACAATTTGCCTTATGGTGCTTATCTGTTGTAAACTCTCTACAGTTCTCAATTATCTTAGATGTTCTACTATACAAAGATATACTCACAGAATCTCTCCTTTAAATACCAATTGGTTTCAAGAAGACTAATAATTTAACACAATAATTATCTTCATAAAATCTAAATAGAGGGGTGTAGTGCATAAAGCTGTCCCTGTGATGTCAGCATCTCTTATGTTCATGTCCTGTTTGCTCCACTTCCAACCCAATTCCCTGCTAACAGCCTTGGGAAAAGCAGCTGACGATTACCCAAGAGCTTGGACCCCTAGCTCCCACGTGGGAGACGGATGAAGCTCCTAGGCTTGGCGTGGCTCAACTCTTGCCACTGCAGCCATCTGGGGAGGGAAGCAGCGGATGGCAAGTCTCTTTCTCCCTCTCTTTCCTCTCTCTCTGTAGTCTTTCAAATAAATAATCAAATATATACGTATAAATAAGTAGAAACATAACAAATACCTTGATCCTACAGAAAAATATTATTGTTACATAGACCTAAAAGTGTAATAATGTGAATTACCTTACAGGAAGGTTTTTATTACCTTAATCCTCCAATATGAAACTAAGATGAATACCTTTATTTACATACATGTAACTAGATTTACATACATGTTATTGGGTAACTTCCTAGGAAACGGTTTCAGTTTTAAAAACCAGCCTGGGAGCCAGCATTGTGGTACAGTGGGTTAAGCCTCCACCTGCAATGCTGGCATCCCACGAGTGGTAGTTCCAGTCCTGGTTGCTCCACTTCCAATCCAGTTCCCTGCTGATGTGCCTGGGAAGGCAGCAGAAAGATGGCCTGAGAGATTGGGCCCCTGCAACCCACATGGGAGACCCAGTTGGGAGTTCTAGAATCCTGGCCCAGCCCAAGCAATTACAGTCATTTGGGGAATGAACCAGGATGGAAGATGGATCTCCTTCTCTCCAATTCTGCCTTTCAAATACAGAAATAAATCTTAAAAAAAAAAAAAAATAAAGGAAGTGAAGACTGAAGTGTCAGTTCAGCAACAGCCTAGTGGCAGCCATACTGATTAGAATTAAGAGCAGAGTGGTACATAAGCAGACAGTGCATGCTGGATAACACTGGGTGCAGGTAGAACAGATGGTCACAGAAAATCTAATTCGAATCTCCCCAACCTTCTCAGTTCTCCTCTTCTGCACCCACTGTGCATGGCAGAAGAGTTAGGAGCTGAAGGCGGCAGAACCTGGAAAGGGCAGGGATGGGAGTGGAGAAATAAAGGTTCACTCAGGTGCAGGGATGCCTAGCTGGTGTGGGAAGGGAGCTGTAGCCAAGTCCAGAAGCTAAAGGCAGAGTATCTTTGCCCCTGAGGTCCCTGTCTGCCTTCCCAAACCTCAGCTAAGACCAGTCTTCAGCTCTTTAGGGAAGGTGTGTCCTTCCCTACCCCAACCTCTAAATGTTGACATATACAAAGAAGCTGATACCCAGGAAATATATATTCATAGAAAAAAAATAGCTAGATATCTGGAAAATATAATCACTAAAAAATGAAGTTAACAAACTGGACAATCTGTAAGAGAAAAAGCAGAATTAACAGACAGGAAATAGAATGCCAAATAAATAGAAATCCTAAAAAAGATAGTGAATTTTTATTGTTTACAGGAAACAAAGACAAGCAGTCAAAAAAAGAACCAATGAGAAATACTACGTATGAAATGGCTGAGACACTATCAACTCACCATTATTCAGGATTTTACCTTTAGAGTATTTAACCCTCAAACACAGATCAACAAGGTTTGTATTATTAACCTCACCCTACCAATGAGAAAACTAAAGAAATCTATGAAATATTATTTTTAACCTCTATCCTACATTTTAAGAATGGGTTAAATGGGATATTTGTGACTAAAAACAAAATAGCGATCCAGAAGATCAGGTAAAAGAGACGGAAAATGCAAATAAAAAGCAAGCTGACAAAAGGATAAAGGCAGGAGTGTAACACACACACACACATATACATACATACATACATACATATATATATATATGACTGATGCTGGAAAATAAAACAGAAAATCTTTTAAGAAATAACTGCTTAGAATTCCCATTACTTTGAAAAAAAATTAAAGAACACAGAATCAAAGGGTTCACAGTGTCCCAAATGTAATGTATAAGGAGAAACAGACCTAACCACATATTCTGGCATGAAATTTAAGAACATCAAAGGTAAAGTGAAACAAGAAGAAAATTAATATTATCCTCTTTTTTTAAAGCATCGATATTTAGATTCAAGAAGATAATGAATTAATATTTTCCAAGTGTTGCAGGAACGAACTCTAAATCTAGATTTCTATATTCAACTAAGCTATTATTTAAGTATCAAAAAGTTCTTGATTACACAAATCTCACAAATTTTGGCACATAAATGTGTAATGTCAAAATTTCCCTCTGAAAAGGACACAAGGACTTCATGTCCACTTAGATTATAGATAACAGCTCTCAAAATTTCAAACATTTATTTTATTCAAGTTGATCCAAGAAATAGGAGAGGAGAGAAGATATGAACATCATTTCATGAAATCATGTTATCTTAGTTCTAAAGTAAGGATCATACAAAGGAATTTAAGCATCTTCCACTTAATGAGCACATTCGCACATACTTAAACACCATCCAATCAAATAAAACATTAGGAAAAAACTATCAGTAATGAGAGTTTACAAAAGGGTGGCTTAATAGTGTGATGCACTCACATTAATCAACTTAAGGAGAAATCATGTAATCATCTCAATAGTTACAAAAATACTCTGATAAAGTTCAGTACCCACTTTTGATTTTTAAGACTCTCAGCAGGGATTAAGATGGCACCAGCATCCCATATGGGCGCTGGGTTCTAGTCCCAGCTGCTCATCTTCCAGTCCAACTCTCTGCTATGGCCCGGGAGAGCAGTGGAGGACAGCCCGAGTATTTGGGTGCCTGCACCCGCATGGGAGACCAGGAGGAAGCACCTGGCTTCAGATAGGCACAGCATGCCAGCCATGGCAGCCATTTGGGGGGTGAACCAACACAAGCAAAACAAAGAACTGGTTTTTTGTTTTTTTGTTTGTTTTTTTGACAGGCAGAGTGGAAGTGAGAGAGAGACAGAGAGAAAGGTCTTCCTTTGCCATTGGTTCACCCTCCAATGGCTGTCGCGGCCGGGCGCACTGCGCTGATCCGAAGGCAGGAGCCAGATGCTTCTCCTGGTCTCCCATGGGGTGCAGGGCCCAAGCACTTGGGCCATCCTCCACTGCCTTCCCGGGCCACAGCAGAGAGCTGGCCTGGAAGAGGGGCAACCGGGACAGAATCCGACGCCCCGACCGGGACTAGAACCCGGTGTGCCGGCGCCGCAAGGGGGAGGATTAGCCTGTTGAGCTGCGGCACCGACCAAGAACTGGTTTTTAAAAAAAAAGAAAAAACAAATTGGCCCAACTAAGCGGATCTTCCCATCTGCTGATTCACTCCCCAAATGACTGTCGAACAGGGCTGCCCGTCAATAAAATTAGAGATGAAAAAGGAAATGTAACAAGACACCACAAAAATAAGAATTATCAGAAATTATTACAAAGAGCTGTATGCAAATAAACTGAAAAATGTAGAAGAAACAGATGGAATGCTAGACACATACAACCTACCTAAATTAAGCCTTGCAGACACACAAACCTGCAAGGACCCCTGTTCGAGACGGGAAACTGATCATGTATTAATGAATTCCCGGCCGGCACCGCGGCTCAATAGGCTAATCCTCCACCTAGTGGCGCCAGCACATCGGGTTCTAGTCCTGGTTGGGGCGCTGGATTCTTTCCTGGTTGCCCCTCTTCCAGGCCAGCTCTCTGCTGTGGCCAGGGAGTGCAGTGGAGGATGGCCCAAGTGCTTGGGCCCTGCACCCCATGGGAGACCAGGAGAAGCATCTGGCTCCTGCCTTCGGGATCAGCACGGTGCACCGGCCACAGCACGCCAGCCGTGGCAGCAATTGGAGGGTGAACCAATGGCAAAAGGAAGACCTTTCTCTCTGTCTCTCTCGCTGTCCACTCTGCCTGTCAAAAAAAAAAAAAAAGAACCTCCCAACAATGAAAAGCCCAGGATTGGACAGCTTCACTGCTGAATTCTACCAGATATTTAAAGAAGAATTAACTCCAATATTTCTCAAGTTATTCAAAACAATTGAAAGGCAGAGAATCCCCCAAATTCTTTCTATGAAGCCAGTATCACCTTAATTCTTAAACCCGGAAAAGATGCAACAGACAAAGAGTACAGATCAATTTCCCTGAAGATTATAGACACAAAAATCTTCAACAAAATTCTACAAAATCGACCAACAACACATCAGAAAGATCATTCACCCAGACCAAGGGAAATTTATCCCTGGTACATACAATGGTTCAACATTCACAAAGCCATCAATGTGAGACATCACATTAACAAACTGAAGAACAAAAACTGTCAAGAGATGCAAAGAAAGTATCTGATAAAATACAACACCCTTTCATGATGAAAACTCTAAGAAAACTGGGTATAGAAGTAACATTCCTCAACACAATTTATGAAAAACCCACAGCAAGCATCCTATTGAATTGGGAAAAATTGGAAGCATTCCCCCTGAGATCCAGAACCAGATAAGGATGCCCACTCTCACTGCTGCTATTCAATATAGTACTGGAAGTTTTAGCCAGAGCCATTAGACAAGAAAAAGAAACCAAAGGGATACAAATTAGGAAAAAGGAAGTCATCCTGTTCCTATTTGCAGATGACATGTTTCTATAGATAGGGGATCCAAAAGACCACTGAGAGACTATTGGAACACATAGAAGAGTTTGGTAAAGTAGCAGGATGTAAAATCAACACACAAAAATCAACAGCCTT